ATGGCCTCGCACCGACAATGATGCCGTACCGGCGTACGCATCACCGGTCTGCGATATTAGGGTACAACATTTTCCGACAGATTTCCTGCCGTCAGTCGATGGTCAAAGCTCCGTCACCTCCGCTCCGTCCGTCAGTCAAATCACTTAGGGCAGCAGTCTGCGTCGCGTGCAGTGCATTGCATGTAATAACGTAGGTTACATTGAGATTGGAGAAAAAGTTTGCCTGATCGCCATTCCTATTTATTTATTTATTGCCTAACAAAGGAAACAAAATAAAATAACATTCACGATTGCTTTTGAGATGAGTTGCGTTTTTTTTTTACGTGGTAGAGCCATACTGCAGCTATATTGTGGTTACAGCACGAATGGGTCGCGGCTCGTCCGGGCTAGAACCACGCTCTCAGAGAATACCAGCGTAAAATAGCGGCTTAATGCTGCTGTGTTTCGTATGGTGAGTGTAGAGAACCGGAGACCCTTTTTACTGAAAACGAGGAATTCTATCTCAGTCCTCAGGGGTGCCAACGCATCTGCATTTTGATTCTTAATTTATGATAAATGTAGCTGTCTATTGGCCACAGCAACCACTTACCATCAGGACCTGGTGGACTGTGTGCTCTTTTGTCACCCTAATATTATATATATATATATATATATATATATATATATATATATATTTATTTATTTATTTATTTAAAAAAAATGTAGAGTCGATATATTAAACTACAATCGATGTGATGCTCAAAGTAAAATACCCATCATCAATGGAAACGACAAAAAGCCAACATCACGCGGTGTTCCCAGGCGGTCACCCATCCAAGTACTGACCGCGCCCGACGTTGCTTAACTTCGGTGATCGGACGAGAACCGGTGTATTCAACGTGGTATGGACGTTGGCGACAGAAGCTCTTTATTGTGCAGAGATATTCTAATCGCCTTCTACGATACTTATGTACATACGTACTCTTACGCTCGCACGTAAAACGTATTCTGACAACCAAATTTTTAACAATACCATACACAAGTATTTGATGATCCACCATCAACGTGCTGGACTGCTGGATGCGTTATGTAGATACATAAAATTATGTATGTAGGTACAATTGTGCAACATAATATGTACCTACTTGTAATAATTAACAAAATATAATTATTGATATCCTATTTAGAATCTGTGCGTCCAAAAAGCCATCAAGCCAAATACAGCACGAGGAAGATCGGATGGATAGATCTGATACTTAAGTTCCTATAGAGAGTCTCTTAATATGTAGGTTTAATGTACACAATAAAGTAATAATTTATTTATTTATATTACCTATTACTACTATGTATATATATATTATGTGCACGTCCCAGCCAGAAGAGTTCACTATCTATCTATTTATTAGTAAAAATTGAATAAATTAAAAAATAATGGCAAAAAGCCAACATCACGCGGTGTTCCCAGGCGGTCACCCATCCAAGTACTGACCGCGCCCGACGTTGCTTAACTTCGGTGATCGGACGAGAACCGGTGTATTCAACGTGGTATGGACGTTGGCGAACGTGAAGCTGTAATAGGGAAACAAAACATACTGCGTACCTGAAACATCAAATTGGCACGAGCCATGTAAGTAAGCAAATACGTTGAGAGATTAGTATTAGGTACCTATATCATTTCAATCGTACGATTAACTTATGATTGAAGAACGTATTATTAGTCAGGTGGAAGGTGAATAGGTAAACAGGAGATCACGCGGCACGACGACATCGAGTCGAGTGGAGTAAAGTAAGTACATAGTTCAAGCAATCTGAGCGGCGAGCGGCGAGCGGTGCGATGAACGTGCGGAAGAGCGTGCGGCGAGCTTTGCAATGAACGTGCGTAAGAGCGTGCGGTGAGCGGTAAGCGGCGACGGTGAAGCGCTAGCGAGGAGCCAGGTAGCAGCGCAGCGCCGCGCCGGCAAAGTCCGTTCCGTTCCGTTCCGTTCCGTCCGCGCGACGCCGAGCGGGGCCCGCAGGTGGACGGCGAGCAGCGCGCGCAGGTGCTGCGCCTGATCGAGAGCGGCAAGCGGCAGGGCGCGCGGCTGGTGGCGGGCGGCGAGCGCGCGGGCCACGTGGGCTACTTCGTGCAGCCGACCGTGTTCTGCGACGTGCGCGACCACATGGACATCGCGCGCCGAGAGATCTTCGGCCCGGTGCAGCAGATCATGAAGTTCTCGCAGATCGACGAGCTGCTGGAGCGCGCCAACGACACGCACTACGGCCTCGCCGCCGCCCTCTTCACCGGGGACTTGGACAAGGCCAACTATCTCATCCAGGTACGTACCTACCTACCTACCTACCTACACACACCTATTTTTCAATTATATTACGAGTATAATATAGTAAAGTAATTTATAGTATCTTACTTACTTAATTATTAATGGTTACTGAATTTTGAACGTTTCTCTCTCAAACAGGGCCTGCGTGCCGGCACCGTTTGGGTGAACGACTACAACGTTTTCGGCAACATATAGATATATATATATATATATATATATATATATATATATATATATATATATATTTATTTAAAAAAAATGTAGAGTCGATATATTAAACTACAATCGATGTGATGCTCAAGTAAAATACCCATCATCAATGGAAACGACAAAAAGCCAACATCACGCGGTGTTCCCAGGCGGTCACCCATCCAAGTACTGACCGCGCCCGACGTTGCTTAACTTCGGTGATCGGACGAGAACCGGTGTATTCAACGTGGTATGGACGTTGGCGACAGAAGCTCTTTATTGTGCAGAGATATTCTAATCGCCTTCTACGATACTTATGTACATACGTACTCTTACGCTCGCACGTAAAACGTATTCTGACAACCAAATTTTTAACAATACCATACACAAGTATTTGATGATCCACCATCAACGTGCTGGACTGCTGGATGCGTTATGTAGATACATAAAATTATGTATGTAGGTACAATTGTGCAACATAATATGTACCTACTTGTAATAATTAACAAAATATAATTATTGATATCCTATTTAGAATCTGTGCGTCCAAAAAGCCATCAAGCCAAATACAGCACGAGGAAGATCGGATGGATAGATCTGATACTTAAGTTCCTATAGAGAGTCTCTTAATATGTAGGTTTAATGTACACAATAAAGTAATAATTTATTTATTTATATTACCTATTACTACTATGTATATATATATTATGTGCACGTCCCAGCCAGAAGAGTTCACTATCTATCTATTTATTAGTAAAAATTGAATAAATTAAAAAATAATGGCAAAAAGCCAACATCACGCGGTGTTCCCAGGCGGTCACCCATCCAAGTACTGACCGCGCCCGACGTTGCTTAACTTCGGTGATCGGACGAGAACCGGTGTATTCAACGTGGTATGGACGTTGGCGAACGTGAAGCTGTAATAGGGAAACAAAACATACTGCGTACCTGAAACATCAAATTGGCACGAGCCATGTAAGTAAGCAAATACGTTGAGAGATTAGTATTAGGTACCTATATCATTTCAATCGTACGATTAACTTATGATTGAAGAACGTATTATTAGTCAGGTGGAAGGTGAATAGGTAAACAGGAGATCACGCGGCACGACGACATCGAGTCGAGTGGAGTAAAGTAAGTACATAGTTCAAGCAATCTGAGCGGCGAGCGGCGAGCGGTGCGATGAACGTGCGGAAGAGCGTGCGGCGAGCTTTGCAATGAACGTGCGTAAGAGCGTGCGGTGAGCGGTAAGCGGCGACGGTGAAGCGCTAGCGAGGAGCCAGGTAGCAGCGCAGCGCCGCGCCGGCAAAGTCCGTTCCGTTCCGTTCCGTTCCGTCCGCGCGACGCCGAGCGGGGCCCGCAGGTGGACGGCGAGCAGCGCGCGCAGGTGCTGCGCCTGATCGAGAGCGGCAAGCGGCAGGGCGCGCGGCTGGTGGCGGGCGGCGAGCGCACAGGCCACGTGGGCTACTTCGTGCAGCCGACCGTGTTCTGCGCACAGAATACTTTACTCCTAGCGGAGGTTCTGCGACGTGCGCAATCCATGATCATCGGATATCTGTATCACCGCCAAAGTCTAACATTTTTTCATTTACAACGGCAACACTGCCATCCATACCATAGAGTATTTTTGAATCAAGCTCAGTGTGACCATATGTGGCAGGTTTCTGCCATTTTGGCAGGATTGGCCTCTTATTTTAGCCTGTTGCATGATCGATTGACGTTTTATAAAACCTGGCTGTGTTTGGCATTATTGGGGTATTAAAAATATATTTCATCATGGCAACTTAAAATGATGAAAATGGTAACCCCTAGATACTTCGCCAGCATGTTGGGGATTTCCCTGTATTTCTCGGTTTCTCGTATTATGCTTGTATATAAACAACTTTAAAAAAAAATTGTGTATAAAGTTGATAATCTTAACACGAGTTAGTTAATATTTCAATCAGTCATAATAGAGACGTACTTTAGTTTGATATAGAATTAGATTTCATTATCACCATAGGTGGCGGTGATGAAGCGAAAATAAGACAGGGCGTTTAGAGCGAAGTGGAAGCAAGATCTTTAATTTCCATCATGGATCTCAAAAGCTAAATATGATCCAGACTGTGTAACTGCAAATTGGCTATTAAACATCAAGAAAATATGAGTGGATTCAGCATGCGAAAGAATATTCTCTAAAATAAATTTAATTAAGACAAAAACACGAAACAGATTTATAAACTAACATGTAGCGTATATCTTGTACGTTAAACAAGCATGGCGATTGCATTGCATTCGAACCAACGAAAGATATGTCTAATTTTAATTTAAAAAATACAGCATTTATATGTGTATTTTGACTTTTATTAGTTTAATACAATGTTAAATAAAGTTGGCAGTATTTAGGCATTTTTCATTACAGATTTTGGCAGGATTTGGCAGGTTTCTTACCAAAGTGTGGCAGGATCTGTATTTTAAAGATGGTCACACTGATCAAGCTATTATGGAAATAATTTATGAAAAGTTGAAAAGCATAGATGAAAAGCATTTAACAGAAACAAAATAACGAAAAAATCTGATTAAGTGCAGTAGGAAAAGTAAAATATGTAAATGAAATAAAAATGGCTCCTAAAATGAAGTTTTCTGAAGGTATAAGTAAAAACATTTACACCGTTGACGTATTATTATATTAAAATTAATTTATTATTATAAATAATAATTCATTCATTTTGTAACTTTTCAGGTGAAAAAGTGTTATGTTTTCATGGACCTCTTATTTACGAGGCAAAATGTCTTAAGAGTTCGGTTACAAAAGACAAACATGTTCGGTATTTAATTCATTATGCTGGCTGGAATAAAAAGTACGTAGTACCTTATTGTTACTTTATATTGTTTAACGCTCTAGACAATTACCATAACGTCCCGGTTCATAAGACTGATTACTAGAGTTGTGCCCTAACTTTGGTAACTTATTAAAGTTAAGTTAGAAGCTAGTAACTCAGGTTTTGTAGAAACAGAATTTTATGGTACCTAATAAGTCTGAGCTAAGGGTTCTATATAAATTACAATTCATCAACATCACTATCCTAGATTTGCGTAGAGGTGTACACGACTATCTATTAATGTTCAGTAGTGGAACATTTTTTATTTTTATAGTTGAAACTAGCACTCAAGTGTACAAGACTTAAAATTGATTTGAAGCTTAATCTAGTCCTAAAATATTCTATTGTGGAAATGCATGGTTTTCGAGATATTCATTGTTCAAATTTATTTTTCACATATATGAAATGTACAATTTTTAATAACTAAGCACACTTATGGCTGTTTTATTATATAAAATTAATATAAAAGTGGCTGTGTTCTAAATTAAAAAAAATATTTATCTTTTAGCTTTATATCATTAGCAGCTTTCACTTGTGACTTCGCCAATGTTGAATATAAACCGAAAATCTACAGATCTATAATATTATATTATTATTATTCAATTTTACATATTTTATTGACATTAACTTATCTTACCTTTAAGCTGACACCATGACTAAAACTACTGCCTCATAGAGCCTTATGGAAGGGATATTTGGCAAAGTTGCCATGCTGAGCAGGCAGATTGGTAACAGATTTTTTGATATCATTTTGAGTTGTTATCAGGAAGATGCTCTTGCCAAGCTCCTGTTTCTGGCTGTGGATTCTCTTATGCTGCTACTACATGGTGTAAGATAATCCACTACATTGTTATTTATAAACAATTATTAAATCTAAATATCAGTAAATTAGATAAACTAATGTAAGAAGCGATTTTGGTTAAAAATAACTCAACACCAATAAAAAAGAAGAAAAGATAACACTCCTGCTTGTATTGTAACATGTTTTATTTTCTGTTTCAGCTGGGATGAATGGGTTCCTGAAAGTAGAGTTTTAAAATACAACGAGGCTAATGTGCAGAGGCAGAAGGAGGTCCAGAGAGCGCATTCAGCACAACCTGTCAAAACAAAGAAAAGTATTTTTTTTTTTAATTATCAGTATCCGCTTTTTTAAATTATATATGTAATTATCGTCGCCTCTCTAGGAAACTCCATAATAATTAACATTTCTTACATCATTTGTTTATTATTACTTTTACAAAATGTAAATTTTTAATGTATAAATTATTAAAATTACTTCACAATAGACCTATTTCTTATAAGTTGTACACCTTATATCTGTTTTAGTCAAAATAACTATATGCATACTCAAACAAATTAAAGTTACATGCTAAAATCATTGTAATAACTTGAAATATTTATATTACTATTTATATTTATTAATATCACACTGGATAAATATGATAATAAAGCGAGGCGGTTGCACTGTTACTCTATCTATAAAACAGTTTCCTATTATAATACTGTATATCGATGACGAAGTGCCAATATCTCATACCTTAAATATGAAAGTTTTACAGGAAGTGAAAAAAACTTCTCATAATTTTATTTTAATTTTAATTTTGATTTCATTTGATAAATTCACTTTATTTTTGAATGTAAATACGGCCTGTTAATTGTTTTTTCCTGTAAAACCAGTATTTACTAAAATATTTATACATAGGAGGTATTGCTTTTTGTTAAGTTACATTTTGGTAAATCGAGAGGATAATAGGAGCAAATAATAAAAGTAAAATAATATGAATACGTAGCTTTTAATTAAAAGTGAAAGAAGATTTACAAAAAAATATACCTACTTCAAGTGTTTTTAATGTCTTAGTGTTCTAAAGTGCTTATTTGGATATTATTATATGGACAAAACAAGAAAAACAATTAGTAGTAACTTAAATAAGTATAACTTTACGACAACAAAATTGAACTTCTAACAACTCAAACATTTTCATGAACGAAACTTTAAATTATGGAACATTAGGTTCTTATCGCTTATAAATAAAAAATAATCAACATCATCATCATCATCATCATTATTACAGCCCTTCACAAGTCAACTGCTGAACATAAGCCTTCCCCAAGGAACGCCACAAAGCACAGTCCTGAGCCACCCCCGCATCCATCGACTTCCTGCATGTCTTACCAGGTCGTCACTCCATCTAGTGGGGGGACGCCCTACACTTCGTCCGTCGGTACAAGGCCGCCACTCCAGAACCCTTTTTCCCCATCGGTTGTCGGTTCTTTGAGCTATATGGCCGACCCATTGCCACTTCAGCTTACTAATCTGTTGGGCTATGTCCGTTACTCTGGTTATACTGCGGATATCCTCATTTCTAAGTTTATCACGCAGAGAAACTCCGAGCATAGCCCTCTCCATAGCTCGCTGAGTGACCTTGAGCTTCCTCATCCGGCCAGCAGTGAAGGACCACGTCTCAATTCCATAAGTCATTACTGGCGACACGCACTGGTTGTAAAGTCTCGTTTTTAAGTTTTGAGGTATACCTGATGATAAGATGTGCCGTAATTTCCCGAACGCTCCCCAACCGAATTGAATCCGTCGATTGATCTCTCGGTCGAAGTTGGACTTACCTAGTCGGACTATTTGTCCCAGGTACACATACTCATCAACAACTTCGAGCTTAGTGCTCCCAACAACTACTGGCATAAGTGTGACATGGACATTAAACATGATTTTTGTTTTGTCCATGTTCATCTTAAGACCTATCCGTTGGGAGAAACTGTTGAGGTCATTGAGCATAGTGCTTAGGTCCTCCTTCGATTCTGCCATAAGGACTATATCGTCGGCAAATCAAAGGTGAGTGATGTACTCGCCATTGATGTTAATACCGTATCCTTTCCAGTCCAGAAGCTTCAAAACGTCTTCCAATGCAACGGTGAAGAGTTTTGGGGATATAACGTCACCCTGTCTTACACCTCTCTGCAATTAGATAGGTTTCGTACTCTGGTTCTATACCCGGATAGCCATTGTAGCCCTACAAGTTATCGGCACCCACGGAAGATCAGTGTCGAAGTACTTTGTTAGTACCAAGACTATGCTGAGTTGGGTACCTTTTTAGTAACCGTTTATCTTAATATGTTATTATGGTTAGCAGCAAACTTCTAAAATGTGTTACTAAATAAACTTATTTTCTTTCTTCTTCTTCTTCTTTCTTTCTTACTGTACAAGCACTTCAGCACTTCGATATACTGACAGCCAACTTGGCACCGCTGAAGGGACTGCAGCACCGCCCAAATTTCGACGGAATCAAAAGCTTTCTTATTGTCCACATACGCCAGACATAGTGGGAAATTGTACTCCTCGGACTTCTGTACAATTTGCCGAAGGTGTATGTATGTGGTCTATGGTGCTAAAGCCTTTTCGGAAACGGGTTTGTTCGGGAGGATGGAAGTCGTCAAGTCTGCGCGCGAGACGATTCGTAATGACTCTCGAAAACAGCACGTAGACGCGGCTCAGAAGGGAAATCGGTCTGTAGTTTTCAAGAAGGCGTTGTCACCTTTCTTGAAGAACAAGACCACCGCACTTCTGCCCCACGCCTCCGGTGCAATGCCACCATGCAGGACGGAATTAAAGAGCTTCTGAAGGTTTTCGAGCACCGGTTTTCCACCCTCTTTCAGAAGCTCCGCTATAATTCCAACCTCGTCTGGGGCCTTCCCGTTTTTAAGGTGCTGGAGAGCCATTCTAATCTCACTCAGACTGACATCCTGGATATCATCGAAATACAACATCAACCTGGTACAATATAAAGTTATTAATAGCAATTAAATCAAAAATTACCAATAAACTTTTACTTAAATTCTACCATCTTTAACTTTTTAAGTAGAGTATGGCAGACCATCGTCAAAACTATGACAATCACTGGGTAATACTGACTTTAGTTGCTGCAGATGGATGGGTGTTCGCTCTTATTTTATGCATAAAATGATATAGAAGGTATTTCTTTTGTAAACTTAGGATTTATTTCCAGCAAAATTTTAGAAATATTTTGTCATCTTAAAATAACAGTTATTTCTATTAGTATTTTAAAGTATAAATAATTAAATAATGTTTTAAAAGATTTTGTTAGTACGTGCAAGATATTATTTTACGTCGATCTGCATTAAAATCTGAAAATCGCTAAAACAAAGATAGGTATTGGTACTTCATCGTCGATATGTGCGTCTGATCTTTTGAACTAGTGATTAATATTATTATATTATTCAGATTAATATTATTTTGAATCAAATATGGTAGGTAATCATAAAATAACAATAAAAATCATCATTATCATCATCATCATCACATCCTATCAATAGTGCACTACTGACAATAGGCCTACCCCGTAGATTGCCTTATAGGGGGATATTTGACATAGTTGTCACACTTAGTAGTCAGGTTGGACGATGCTGCTGCTCATCTGTTTCATTTCAATCAGACATCTCGTACGATACCCATGTGATGATATGGTGTAGTAGATTGTCTTACACTGCCACTACACGGCTCATGTATGTTTATTTTTTTTTTTTTACAAAACGTTACCCCCACACTAGGATTTTCTCCTGTGTCGTGGAGGCAGTTTACAAACATAAATTGCACAAGGACAAACATCCAGACCCGGAACAATTATTTGTAGGCCATACAAATACTTGTTCCGTGCGAGATTCGGACCCGCGGCCCCCAGCGCAACAACTGATTGCTAAGCCACTGCGCCACGGAGCCGGAGCAAAAATGTGAATGTGTATAAAACAAAACAAGCTACTACCAAAACAAAAGCTAGGTGGCGCTACGGCTGCGCCCATTGTATATACCATTGAATATACTAGTCTGGTATTCTTTCCTCTCCACTTATCTGATCCTAGCATAACTATGTCTTGACAAACAAATAAAAAAACAAACTTATTGTGTTAATATGACTTCAATAAGTCAAGTTGTTCAGTTGTTGCTAGTCAAGTATCAACTATTATGTATTGTATTTCAAGTAGTAATTAAAAAGTAATAGTAATAAATAACTACGATTAGCAATTTCAAGCAAGTTTACAGCATTAACTAACTCTAAGGCTGAGTTCTATGGACTATACTTTGACTTTGCTGACTTTACTTACGAAAAATTTAACTGAGTATACGCTTAGCATAATCTTTTGTTCTGAATTTATAGTTGTATCGGGCTAAGATTAAGCTTATGCTAAGGCCCAGACAATCAAAAAATTAATGGATGTTTTATTCCATGCATTATGTTCTGTGTTTTATTCCATGGATTTTTATAGGAAGGGTAAAACGTCTGCCTGGCGAGCAGTTATTATATGAAATAGAAAAGGGCGTATGAGAACGGGAAAGAATGAGAAGAGCGCAAAATCAGAAAAAAATTAAAAAAGGTTTCAAGAAATTCAAAATAAGTTTGAAATACACATATACACGTGGTAGAGCCAAGCTGCAGCTAGCTATATTAGTAGTATAGTTGTAGCACGAATGGGTCGACTCGACCAGGGATGGGACCACACTCTCACAGAATACCAACGTAAAATAGCAGCTTAACACTGCTGTGTTTTGTATGGTGAGTGTAGAGAACCGGAGACTCCTTTTACTGGAAAAGAAGCATTCCATCGTAGTCCCCGCGGGTGACAACGCATCCGCATTTTAATTCTTTATTGAGGATAGATGTAAATATCTATGGGTCACAGCAACCACTTACCATCAGGTGGTCGTTTGTCACCCTATCTTATAAAAAAAACATTACGTTAATAGAAAATGGATTATTGCTATTTAAATATAGAAGACAGCCTAAAAGTACCATTTAATGTTATGAATAATTTTTGTAACATAAAAGCCACAATTTAAAATTAATATTGAATCCTGTAATTCATAAAATTAAAACTAAACCCAAGCATACCACTGTAAGACTTCAAGACACAGTTAGTTCATTCTGCGTAGATCGGACCAAAATTAATAATTAAAAAGCTGAAGGTACTCCGGGTTAACTTTGACATCGGGACGTCAATCACCTCAGTCCCCCGTGACCACGGTTGCTGGAAAGCAACCGAAACGTCGGGAATATAAAATAAGTAAATTAAACGCGATAAAATCCGTAAAAATAGTTTTATTCAATGTGTAGTGTTCGCGTAAATATAAGAAATCATTATTAAAATTAATACGTGGTGGTTTTGGATAATATCCTAAGTTTTACGTAAGTCATCGATTTCTTTGACTTAGGCTTTGCTAAGCATGCACTCAGCATGACTTCGAAGTTAGCTCTATAAATACCGACATTGTCTTAACTCGAAAGTAGTCTGAGCAAAGTCAAAATCTATATCTCAGCCTAAAAGGGGCCTAAACCTAAAGAGTAGTCTTGTTTGCGTATAATATAAAATTATGATGTGATTTTAACGTATTGCCTGGAAAGATGAACCCCCTGGTCTAAAAATTATATTTCCTCATCTGGAAAGATGAACCCCCTGGTCTAAAAATTATATTTCTCTTCATGTATAAATTTCAGCTTATAAATTTTGAGTTTTACTTGCGTTATGCCTTATATCAAAGTTTCTCAGAGTTGCCAGCCCGTGTAATTAAGCCTGACTATGATAACTTATTTCTATTCTTCAATTACTCTCAGCTACCGCTAAGGGACGCAAATCGGAGACGGCTACAGGCGCTACTCCGGCTCGGGAAGAATCCAGGGCATCCACACCTGCAGGTAAATTAATCTGTGCATTAACATGATAATCATATAATGATATTATGTTCAAATAAGTCCACATATGACTTCAACAATATTGGGCTATTTAATCATGTGCAGTAGAAGAAACAAAATATTATAGGATAACAAAGCAGACATAGAACTAGTGCGGCCAGATCAAACAAGCTCATTTAGCAGTAACGGAGGTACAAAAAGAGTTAAGATTTGTTAAAATGACCACATCAAAAATGTGATAGATTTCGTGCTAACTTTGAACTTCGTCCGTATTATTATTAATATTCGGTCCGTAAATTGTTAAACAAAAAATAATAATAATGAAATCATCATAATCATATAAAACTAACATAAAAATTTATATTCTTCTTATTAATATATTTTTCTCTTACATAACTGACCTCGAAGGGCAGGCTTGATCAATATCTTTTAATTTATATTTTTCAGAGGTTCCAATTATGCTAATAACATTACCAGAAAGCTCAGAATTATAGCAAATGCAACAGCACTTTGATTGAATTAACCTCAGCGTGTATACACAACAATATTGAGAGAGTGCATTAATGTAAGTAATGAAAACTAATGGCCAACTCAAACGCTAATAAATTTCAAGTTGTCATTAAGTGTCGTGGTGTCAGAGTCACTTTGACTTAAAGTGATAGAGACATCAATAGATTTAATGGCATCTTAAAACTGTGCAGCATTTGAGTATTTGAGCATAAGACATTCGACATCGAATGAACATGTGTCCGTCCATAGACTCAAATCGGTTATTCTGCTCTTTCAAATCAAACTGTGTCTTTGGAAACAACTAAACTGCGTTGCCATGGACGATACGAAATCAAAAAGTGCCGATTATCCGTTGAGCGCTAAGATTATCCTAGTGACATAGGCTCCATTTTAATACTATAGGCATCACAAGTGCGATGTTTGAAAAAATATTATAACACTGTCTTAAATAGCACTATGACGAACTTATCGTTTTACTAAGAATAGTTTTTTTCGTTCACTGCGGTATGGTTTTGTTTTTAATAGTAATTCACTGTTTTTTTTAAAGATGGTATATTTTCTAACATATACATCAGTTATAAAGATATTAGCCCAAATTTAAATAGCTTATCTAATATTTGAGTTGTTAACTTGAAAAATGTAGAATACAATACTAGGTTTAGCGGCGACCTGTTCAATTGGAAAGTAAAAACGACCTATAGGAGAATACTAATGTTGAACCGAACAGTACACTTGAGACCAATTTCAACGATAATAATCGACGATAATAAAGAAATGGTGAATTATCTCAGTTGTAAATTTTACAAGTTATAACACATAATATACGTTTAATGTCGTGCTTATTACAGGTAAAGATGTGGAGACGCCTACAGCGCCAGCTAAAGCCACGAAAACACAGAGTAAAGATACTCCCGCCGATTCGGGCTCGGATCAACCTAAGTAAGCTATTTTACAATATATTCCATTACAGCCTATAAAAGTCCACTGCTGACATAGGCCTTCACTACAGATTGCCTCATGGAGGGCAACGATTGCTTCATGGGGGGGGAGGGGCGGGGGGCATCGCCCTTTTACCACAGTTACAGTATTTTATTGTGAATCCAGAAACTTTCTTTTTCTTAGAATTTTATTTTCTTGTTCCTCTGCCTATTGGCGAGCTATAAAAACATTTTTTTCCATAGCGATTCGAACGATTCCGGGCGATTAATGTGACTTGTACCATTTCTCACCAGTGGTTAGGAAAAACTGCCAAAGTTGTTGGCAATACCACAGAATAAATAATAGTACAAGAACAGAAGGATCACTCTGATAGCAAACCTGCGACTTTAAACTTAGTTTCAACGTCGCTAATGTTAATACTTTGCACACTTCGGAAGTGACCTTCGTTGAAATTAGCCTACCGTTTATATCGTCGAAAAAAAATGCGGCGCACGTATTAGATCAAAATACACCTTATGTCCGCGTGCGAGTGTCTGTAGCACTTAGCCTGTTACGCCCCTTTGTTAAGACCGCTTCTACTGTAGGGTTAGGTGTTGTGAGAAAACAAATTGATTCCTTTGATATAACTTGGTAGTAGAATACACCGATGCATTGATTTGTCTGTCAATCAGGCAGTTTTCTCATGTTTAGGTTGGTAGGATCTACGTACATTAATAATAAACGTACCTATTGTAAGTACCTAGGTAATAATTAACATTATGCAACATAGAGAAAAATTAAGATTATAATCACGTGAACTTCTTTGAAACTCAGATAATTTACCTACTTACTATTTTCTGTTTCACAGTTTTTGCTATTTACAAACATCCGACTCATGAAGGCATTATTAATAAAAGAGTAGCAATGAGAAGTGCTGTTATTTTCAATCTCTTTATCGACAGTGTTTAAGAACCAGTATATGCTGATCTTCTATTAGTAAGCAGTCACTAGCACTGAGAGGTCTACTTATACTGAATGCTTTTTTAAAGTCATTGACATTACACACTGACATCTGATGTTAGAAACTAGTCTCAAAATTATTTAAATTAAAGAATAATATTCGGTAACAGCTTTATGTTATAAAACAATGGACCAACAGCAATACTGGTTATCTATCAGCATGTTACACAGAGCAGCATCTCCGTAATATAAACTTGTATACATTTGCCCAAAGAACAATCATAACTGGTATAATCAAGACAGTGATTAGAGTGACTGCTTCTTTCTGAACGATTGATTCCTTAATGACTGATTCCTCTTAGTCACCTGCGATGCGCAGTACTCTGCTAGAACTAGTGGGAAATAGAGTTCTACCCTAAATTTTGTCGCATTTTCCTTCATTTTTACCCACATTCTTAACATCCAAAGTTTCCCATTTAAAATATTAGGGTAGTAGGACTAGTAGCACAGAATAAAATCTAGCAGGCTATTATTATATATATTTAATACGAGGGTGACACTGAAAGTTTTTAAAAAATCAAAAACTGAACAAACTAGCAAGTTATTAGTTTAATTATATCTTTTCAAAATAGTGTCCATTTACATCAATACATGGCTGCATTCGATGGAACCACTGAGAAAAGCACTTTACCCACTCGTCCTTAGGGGTCTCTTCGACGGCGTTTTGAAACGCAGCCACTGCTTCCTCGGCGTCCATAAAACGTTTTTCTTTTATTTTCGAATATAAATAATAAATCGCAAGGGGCTATAGGGCGGGTGACCCAGTAATTCCACGTCTGACGTCGCCAAGTAGTCGATTGTTTGCTTGGCGGAGTGAGACGAGGCGTTATCGTGGTGAAGGAGGATCCAACTGCAAGGTCGCGTTTCTCCCGAACTTTTTCCAAGACAAGTGGCAAACAATGGTTAGTGTACCACTCTGCAGTAACTGTTTTTCGATCCTCTAAAACAATTGTTGTGTACTGACCTGTCCTTCCGAAGAACGAGGCCACCATCTTTTTTCTCACAATTCGACCTCTCTTCACTTTAGTTGGTAACTCCTCGGAAGGAAACACCCAGACAGTAGACTATTTCTTAGTTTCAGGATCATAACAAGAAATCCAGCTTTTGTCACCCGTAAGTACGTCGAACACAGCATTTGATTCAACTCCGTTAAATCTTTGAAACATTTTACGACACCAATCAACACGACGGAGTTTATGGGCCTCTCTCAAATTACGAGGTATCCACCGAGCACAAGGCATCCTGACCGCTAAAGGTTCATGGAGTATTTTGTGCACTTGACTCATACCAATGCCAAAGCTTTTTTTCCGAATCTGCTGATAAGTCACTCTTTTGTTAGTCTCTATCATACGCCACACAACACTGATGTTATCTTCAGTCGTCGCCGTAGAAGGCCATCCCTCGCGCAGATCATCGGTGAGATAAGTGCGACCACGTTTAAACTCATTAAACCAATTGTAAACAGTGACATGAGATGCGGCTTCATCGTGAAATGCCAATTGAAGTCTATCATAACTTTTTGTTGACTTGAAAAAATCATTGTACGAAAATTCACACACACACATCTCGCGTTAAATTCATGCTGACGTGACACAGATAATTTTCAGTTTGCCGCCAAATCGTAAACAAATTAATAAAATGCATACACAATAATATTGGCAAAGAGTTCCATTTTCAAAATTTGAACTTATTTTATTATTATATCGTTTACGAGTGGCCAGTTCTAAAAACTTTCAGTGTCGCCCTCGTATATATTCTGTTTATTAATCTCGTTACAGATCTGCAACCGACAAATATTTGCGAAAGGAGAATGGGGTTTTTTGGGGCTGAAATTAACTAATTGGTTTATACTTTAAAAATTTGACTATATTTTTTTAAAGTTAAATATAAAAAACTAGCTCTTTTTACAATCTAGATTTAGAAATAACAATAAAATAAGAAATAATATTGAAAATCGATGGTATTGATGGAATCGATTTTATATTTATTCGGATCCAAAAAATTTAAATGAAAAAGCTTCCAAGGTTTCATTAAAATTCTATTATTTACTTTGAATGATATATTCATTTGGAAATAAAATATATTATTAGCATAAGGAAAAAAGAAATAAACATTTTATGACAATGAATCAATTACCATAAAGAATACACTAGTGAAATTCTCGTTTCTGAACGCTAGCTACCCGTACTTCTTATTAGTTTGTGCTACCTACCATATATATACCAATACATACCTAAAGAACTTCTCATTTTTAAACGTGACTTGACAGTTCAAACTTCAAAACTATTCACTTAAAAGAAAAAAAAACCTAAACTTTCGATTCGATTTGAAACAAGCGCAATATAATCGATTCTCGATTATTTTTTTGTGTTAACTAGGATGATAAAAAAAGTGAGAACATATTTACAAAATAATAATAAAAAATACAAAATATCAACATGCCAATATGCCAACAAATAAAAGTAACTACAACAACCGAGATAAAAGGCGTTTTAACCCCGTGGACCGCTATCATATAACTCTATCCACCAAATTATCTAAACGTTTCTTTTGTCACCTTGGAGGTTTCTTATACAATAAAATCAATAAAATTATCCCTATATTTAACCTTAACAAAACTATATGCAAAAAGAAAATAACTATCTGGCTCCAAGAACTAAATTATTATGACACTGAACAACTACTTACTAATTCTATCTAATTACTAATCTAATAAAAGTTAATTACTAACCCAGTCACAAACTAACAAACAAAAGCATGCACACACACACACACACACACACACACACACACACACACACACACACACACACACACACACACACACACACACACACACACACACACACACACACACACACACACACACACACACACACACACACACACACACACACACACACACACACACACACACACACACACACACACACACACACACACACACACACACACACACACACACACACACACACACACACACACACACACACACACACACACACACACACACACACACACACACACACACACACACACACACACACACACACACACACACACACACACACACACACACACACACACACACACACACACACACACACACACACACACACACACACACACACACACACACACACACACACACACACACACACACACACACACACACACACACACACACACACACACACACACACACACACACACACACACACACACACACACACACACACACACACACACACACACACACACACACACACACACACACACACACACACACACACACACACACACACACACACACACACACACACACACACACACACACACACACACACACACACACACACACACACACACACACACACACACACACACACACACACACACACACACACACACACACACACACACACACACACACACACACACACACACACACACACACACACACACACACACACACACACACACACACACACACACACACACACACACACACACACACACACACACACACACACACACACACACACACACACACACACACACACACACACACACACACACACACACACACACACACACACACACACACACACACACACACACACACACACACACACACACACACACACACACACACACACACACACACACACACACACACACACACACACACACACACACACACACACACACACACACACACACACACACACACACACACACACACACACACACACACACACACACACACACACACACACACACACACACACACACACACACACACACACACACACACACACACACACACACACACACACACACACACACACACACACACACACACACACACACACACACACACACACACACACACACACACACACACACACACACACACACACACACACACACACACACACACACACACACACACACACACACACACACACACACACACACACACACACACACACACACAC